AAAAGGGCTATTTTTTAAAGCTGTTAAGATTTTAAACCCCCAAAAAATTTGTATTAAAAAAAATTTTTTTTCTCATATCTCACAACTTTATTACCAGAGCAACAAAGTCCTGGACCTTAAACCCTACATTTTTATTGCCACAAAAACACAAATACATTTTCTACTCATTAAAAAATCTGAAGTAGGATCTTTAAAGATTTCAGAGATTGCTGTAAGGGTACAATAAAAAGCTGATCTCTCACGTAATGGACTCTTCAGTTGTCGATTTTGACGCTGCTGTTTCAATCTCGATAAATTTTCTGCGTCAATTTTTTAACGCCTAAGTAAAGTTGTATTTATTAGATACATTTGAAGTTTTCCTTCCAATTCACCTTCTTGCGACTTTTGTGACCCCTAAAGGCTATTTTCTATCAATTTTGTTAAGTTTTACTATATTTGTTGGCAAGGTCATTCGACGTTCGATTGCCCTAAAAAAGACCAGTGAGTTTTTTAAGTAAACTCTTTCTTGACTGCAGTTAACAGCAATTGTAACTGCCTGGATACCTCAGAGTGATCTTGTCTGGCTTGTTGTTGAAGACCTAGACTGATTGGGAGAAAAATTACAAAGACCGAAGCTTTGGGGCTAGTTGTAGTGCTCTTTCCCAACGTCTCCCGGTATAACGTCGAAGACGTTGGTGTCTAAAGCAACTTTTTTATTTGCAGATTTAGTTGTTTTGGTGATTTTAGATGGGGAGATTGGTTAGTGATACTTGTCCAGTGGAGGCTGTCCCGTTGGCTCAAGTTTTTTTTTCTTCATAGCTATTATAGGTTTACCCAACGCAAACCTTGGAGAGGATCAGTGATTCCTGGTTGAATGCTTAGAGTCGAGAGGGTAGTATAGGGTCGTCGGTCGCCGAGTTTTCCAGCCTTGCGAAGAACAACTCCGCAGGTGACGTTGTGCGTCTGCTAGTGAATGGCTGACTTGGTTTAATAGTGCCCGCCAGTTAATATAGTCTTTCAGTTGACGAATCGCTTCCGGAAATGGTAATAAAAATGTATTTGTTGGCAAGGTAGCTTACTTTTAGGTGGATCCTAAAAAGAACCGATGAAATTGATGGTTAAGTAGGGAACGTAAATACTTATAGTGGCCCTAAGAAGCGCCAGTGGTGAAACTTCCAGGCTATTCTTTATTATTATTCCTGATGATGAAGAGCTGGCTACAGGTTGCTTGATTCTTACCCTGGGAGTCTCGATGTATGGAGATTCCCTTGCTTATATTTGTAGCCACAAATTCTCTAACGGCACCAGGTGGGATGGTGGGACTGCCACACAACTCTGAAAAGTTGGTGCAGGTTGTGCTCTGGCTAGATATGTCTCCTGGTATTGTGCCAGAGACGGCATCGGTTGGAAGTAATTTTTGTTTTTTAATCGCATTCTTCGAGATTCTGGGTGAATGGACACCTAGGTCTCTTCCCCCTTAGTAACCGGGATACCCAGCTGCAAGACTATCATCAGCATACTCTGTACAGCTCGTTGAACTGCCGAAGTACGACTGCATCACCTTCGAGACGCTTCGGCGTATTATAACCACACTTATTTAATTATGTTGCAGGTAGCTTCGATTTTATGTCGACGCCACCTAGCGGATTTTACTGAACTAGAGTGAAAAGCTGGCGTATTTTTGCAAATCTTTGAGCTCATTTATTGCTATTGTTATTTAATTTTTAAGATAAACACTATACTAAAACCATTTAGGAAGTATCATGAATCAGTGTGCAAAATTTCAGCAAAATCGGTTCAGTAGTTTTCGCGGTTAGCGATTACAACGGTTTTAGCGAATTTGCTTTATATATTAGTAAGATTATCTCTTGCTCGATTTTCTTCGATCTTCTACCCTTGTCTCATAAAGGGACTTGATGTAAAAATGTGGAATTTAATAAAACTTCAGCAATTTGTATGTACGCTTACATATATAGGTATTCTGCCGTAACTAACTTATACAATACCTCTGGCTTATATGCTCGTAACGAGGTAAAATGCATTAATGCAAAAGTCTGTACTTATGTAAAAAGTTGCGCTGTTTCTGTTCCAATTATGAAGAACAGCATATATAGTCATTTTGGTGGTAAAATTTACGAAAAAAAGTTAAAATAATTTTTCCGTCCAGTGTCGCTTTTCAGTTTTTGCACTTGCTGATTATGTCTATGTGAACATCGAGCTTCGATAATTATGCTCTCCAACTGCAGATACAGATCATTAAATTTGTCGTATTAACGATATAAAGCGATCAATTAAGCAACCATTTTTATTAACAATCCGAGAAGTGTGCTCACACTTTAGCCCCAAAATTAAGCCAAAAAGTGATGCATTACACGTTAGGCTTTAACAACAAGACTAAGTCGTTTGATGGTGATATAAACCGCTAAATTTTTAGACTACAGTGTACAAGTAAACTATCAGTAGTACTGTTATCAGTACGTGTTTAAAATTCAAACATTATCGAGGGTTTGGATTTTTGAATTGTACATGGGTAAAAGTTTCCAACTTTTCTATCTATCTTTGTACGAGCTTTTTGGCTGTCTTCCCTTCCCCGTCCACCTCAGTTATGAAAGTTTTTTTACATTTTAGGATAACGGATTACCATCTATCTTTTTTTCGCTACTGTTGGACTTAAACATTGTATACGTATCTCAGAATTTGTATTCAAAAGTATTTTTTCTGAGATCCATCTATTAACGGTAATAATGCTTCGAATGTTAGTAGTGAAGTGCTCCACTGTTTTAAAAGATTCTAATGTGGTATCAATGAAAGCTGGGATCAAACCCTATCTAGTAAAAAAAATTTGGTACTATTTAGTAACGCTGATTAAAAAAAATACAGCAATTTAAAGAATACTAATGTTTTTTAGCAAACATCTACAATATCTAGTTTTTAGTGACTTTAATTGCTTTTCCTTCAACTGAAGTACCTTTTAATTAAAAGCACTAAATAAAACTATTTTTTCATAATCAATGATCTTGTTCTCAGCTTATATTAAACTCAGATAAGAACACTTCAACTATACAGGCAGCTTACTTGTACGTACTCAAATTATAGGTAATTTTTTGAAAAATGAACTAAAATTTTCTGTCACAGAGTGTCTGATATCTTCTAACTAAATGACTTCGTAGTAAAATTGCTTCGAATACTTATAAAGAGTTGTATGTAAGATAGAAATATTAGAGAAAACAATTTCCTTTACAACTTTATTCTGTTAAGGTAGTTGTTTTCTAAATCAAAAGTATCTAAAAAGGTACGAAATTTTTAGCAAAACTAATATAAGCGTCGAGAGATATGTATAAAAAATTTTAGACCGATTTACGACGTCGTTATTAAAACATCCTCGTCAAAAAATTTCTCTTTTAACATTGGAGCAATGGTGCAAACACTACATGGCCCCATTATTTTAAAAAGTGTAACTTACCGTATATCTATAATTAATTTAAAAAATACTAAAAACTATCTTAGACAGTAGAGAAATACATACGTTTTTTTGAGGATTTCTTACCACATAGTCTTAAAGTAATAGTAATCAAGAGAGTACTCCTTATTTGATTTTGGAAAATAACTGAGTAAGTATCGCGTATGGAGCAATGTCACATTGTCACATGAGTACAAGTAGATAAATGTATATGTTTATGTACGTATAAGTGTACGCAAAGGCATTCACATTTCTCTCTGTTATTTTGAATACGGGATGATATTTGAACATAACCGTAGTATTGTATATCTATATATACAACTGACCTACATATTGGAAAACAACAACCTTAAATCCATTTTTTAAGTTCTTTTGAGACAGTTATTGCAGAATCACTCACATTTAAACATTTTTCAGTACTTCAACAGCGGTAACCAGCGTGTAAAGCAGTAAATCCCAAATTCAAACCTGACGTGGAAAAATTCTTGTGATAATTTTTTTTTTAATTAAGC